TATATAAATATATATATATATACATATATATATAATGATTCCAATGGCAGTAGGCTGAAATTTGACACAAGCTATCATCATTTACATACAACGCCTACCAAATGTTTATCCAGCCCTAATGAGATGAATGCAATGCAATCAAGCGACACCAATGCAGCCCCTCAAACCCCCTCCCGTCCAATTCTCTCTCAAGCCATTGGTCGGTTCACACACACACAAAACCGCAGCATACTCCAAAAAAAAAAAAGAGATCAATTCACTTTTAAGAGTTCTTTTTTTAAGTATACAATATAAAACAATACGCTTTTTTTTTGTACATTTGAACACCGTTGGCACATCGAACAGTTTCATTGTCAAACATATTGCGGCGTTTGTGTGTTCCAGCTGTATTTGTTACATTCATACATACTATGAGGTGTCTGATATTTGAAAAAAAAAAAAGAAGCAAAGTCCATTTTTAAGTCCAGCACCCAATCTTTCATTAGCTTAGTTACCTGCAACATGGTGGGGGGTGGGGGCATTGCAACAGTAGAAAACAAGCTGAATCCCCCCCGCATGGCAAGAGGGTGTTGGAAATGAATCCTATGGTAAACCGTGAACACCTATTGGTCTAAATATTAAAGAGCTGACGGCAAGATGGAATACCTTCTGCAATGATGCTTTTAAGACATATCTGCTTTGCAAATCGTTGGGATTCGGGGCTCTTGTTTCATTGTCATAACAAGGAATGGAAGAAAGAAACAAAGAAATAATGCCCAATGTAGTGCAATGCCAAAGCAATTCATAGAACCTTGCTGCTAACATATGGTGCCCCCACAAGACATGATGGATGCCAAAAAATAGGGTCACCGATTTTGTTCCCGGGGAAACAATTAACCGTACAACCACCCTGGTGCCAGCTAATGCCCAGAGCCTGAAATTATACCTGCACCGAGACCTAGCTTGCCAGCAGCTTCTGCTGCGCCCGTTACCATGGAGACAAGAGTGATTAGTTCAAGCCTCGCGTGTTTTTTTTTTTTTCAGATCTGCGAAAACTAAAAATAATGAAAAAAGTGAAGTGCATCTTCACACCGGTAAAGTAGGTTTCCTTAACCATTTTGCTACCAGTGGGCAGGCTACGTCGACGCGCGCCCAGGCCCATGGCACAGCGAAGGTTGAGATGCTCCCCAACCGTCAGTGCATAAGAGCATTGAACGCCAATAGTCGAATCTGTTTTACTGTCTGCAGTCTTGAGAGCTGCAGGCCCCAGTCTTCAGGTTGATCATGGACAATTGTTGGTAATACCTATATGTGTCCACACCCATCCCAACCCACAGCCCCCAAGCTCATAGGCCCTAACGGTCCAGATTTATAGTCCAGTGGCCGTTGGGTTCTCTAGACTCGCCTTCGTTCTTCAGATCCTGGAAGACCTGAGTGAAATAGTGAGGGTCGGAGTTGATCTGCAGCATTTTGGCACTCATACGGTCAATGATGCTCAGACAGCGCTGCCAGAAGACCTCCTTGTCATTCTCCACAAGGAAGGGCTTCAGGGGGTAGGAGATCTCATTGCCCATGTAGGAATAAGCCAAGTACAGGCAGGTGAGGAAGCAGGCTTGGAGCTCATACTCACTAGACAGTTCATCGCCAATGGCATCTCGGCAGAGCAAGTAGACGAACACCAGGTTGGCAGGGGTGATGAAGCCTTGGTCTTGCCAACCCTGCAGAAGCAAGGATCGGTCTACATTCCGAAACCACATGGTGGGCTCTCCGGGGTTGAGCTCTTTCAGTTTATAACAGCGGCGGCAAACAAATTCCCCCAGGCATCGAAGGAGTTCACCCGTGGAAGCTTGGACGATGACCCGGCGTGGTGAGCAAAGGGCCCGCCCGCTGGCTGTCTTTTGCACGGCCACCAGCTGCTGCTGTTGGATCTTTTGGCCCTCTAGGGAGCTTGGCGGCACAGTGGGCACGGGCACTGGCTTCGGTTCCCTACGGCCAGGGCTCACCTGGGATTTACGCAGGTTCTCATGGTTGAGTTGCTCCACCGCGTTATTGTTGGGAAGCAGCATGCCATTGATAGGTCCCGGATTCGGGTTTATCTTCTTGGCATTCTTCTTCTTGGCCGAAGCCGCCACCAGCCTCTTCCAGGTGAGGGCAGAGATCAATACTGAATGTCTCTTTAGGCTCTTCTCCGGTTTACTGCCACCATTCTTGCTGTTGGGGATGGCCAAGTACCCTCCGCCTACTCCAGGAGGCTCAGGCTTCTTGTCATCCAAAGGTCCGGCCTTGCCAGGCGTCGGAGACAAGGACAGTACCGTACCCATGGTCAGGTCTCCCAGGTGGCACAGGTGACCTGCCTTTGGAGGAAAGCTGAGGATTGGTGGCTCTGGAGATGGATGAGCTGGAATGTGCTGCTTCGGGGGGCAGATGAGGCTTGTGTATCAGTGAAGGAGATCTGTGCAGGGTCAGGGGTGGAGGAGAAGGTGATCTGCACAGCAGGAGCTGGTGTTAAGAAGCCTTTCCAGCCCTGGAACACCGGCAGGATCAGGTCCAGTCCTAGTGGCCAAATAGAGGAATCTAAGAGCCTAGCTCCGAGAATTAGCTTGTAGTCCAGTGCAGCTGAGCTTGCTTGCACTATGCAGAGCTGTGACACCGGCAGGATAGGGTGCAGGTGAGCACTGACAGGCAGAATCTGTGCATTGCAATCACGGTGAGCTGCTCTGGATGGATCCCCGGCAGGTTGCTGGCTGATGCTCAGTCTTCGGTACCTTGGGATGGATCGGGTCCGGAGATGGTGCAGGTGGACCCGCAGCAGAGATCAGCACTGCCCGCACCGCTCCTCCTCTCCCCTCTGCAGCATTCACCGCACACAGCCCAGGCTCTCATACTGGGGGCGGGATCTAGAGAGCCAGCCGGCCAATCACAGAGTCGCCTGGCTCTGAGCGACGGCCGACGTGGCCAACCAGATCCGCAGGTAGGAGGAGGGGGCTTGCGAGTCCGTGGGATGCTGGATGCAGCTTTGCGGGTGGGTGTGGGACTGCATCAGCAGCGCGGACACGGGGAATCGCGGCATGAGGCCGTAATTCCCCTCTCCGTGTCTGCCCAGCAGCCACATGCTCAGCAGGGAAAGGGTTAATGTCCTCAGGGCCACATTTATAGTGTTGGGGCCCTAATGCAAGGTTCAGACGGGCCCGAATACAGGAACTGCGGCCCAATCAGAGCTCTTATATCTGATTTCATATCTTTATTATATGCAATCTAATCTGTCCGCCTCATATAGCCAGCGTTCTGCCTCTAATTGTACACAATATGTATCCTTATACCTGTATACGTTTCTCTGTGTGTTCCACATTTGTTTCACTCACCTTCCTTCCTTCCCTCCCTTACTCTCTCCTTTCCTTTCTCCTTTCCTTGGCTCCTTTCTTTTTTCCCCTGCCATTCCTTCCCTTTCCTTCCATACTGTCTTTCTTCATTCCCTGTCTCTTTCCATTTTTTCCTTTCTTCCTTCCCATCTTTCTTGGACAGGCCCAACAACTGCAACAACTGGCCCTCTTCCTGCAACAACCGGCCCTCTCTCTGCAACAACCGGCCCTCTTTCTGCAACAACCGGCCCTCTTTCTGCAACAACCGGCCCTCTTTCTGCAACAACTGGCCCTCTTTCTGCAAAAACTGGCCCTCTTTCTGCAACAACTGGCCCTCTTTCTGCAACAACTGGCCCTCTTTCTGCAAAAACTGGCCCTCTCTCTGCAACAACCGGCCCTCTCTCTGCAACAACCGGCCCTCTCTCTGCAACAACCGGCCCTCTCTCTGCAACAACCGGCCCTCTCTCTGCAACAACCGGCCCTCTCTCTGCAACAACCGGCCCTCTCTCTGCAACAACTGGCCCTCTTTCTGCAAAAACTGGCCTTCTTTCTGCAACAACTGGCCCTCTCTCTGCAAAAACTGGCCCTCTTTCTGCAACAACTGGCCCTCTTTCTGCAA